AGATCATAATAGCTTATCTAACTACAGACCAATAAGCATTTTGCCAATAATTTCAAAAATATTAGAGAAGGTTATCCACTACCAACTGACAGACTTTGCAACAAGCAGACACATTCTCTCAGACAATCAATTTGGATTCAGGAAAAATAACTCTACCTACATGCCAGTCATGCTTATTCAAGACTACATAACTGAAGCACTGGAAACTAATAACATTATAGCAGGTGTCTTTCTTGACCTTTCAAAAGCATTTGACACTGTAGAACACCAAATACTACTAGAAAAGTTAAACAAAATGGGCTTTCGAGGAAATATTCTAAAAACAATCAAATCATACTTAACAGATTTCAAGTGGTACAGATAGAAGGGGTCAAGTCAACTGAACGAGAAATAAAAATAGGAGTGCCGCAGGGGTCAATTCTTGGACCACTCCTCTTCATTCTATACTTAAATGACATTGCAAATCTTCCAATTGAAGGGCAGTTTATGCTGTATGCAGATGATACTGCAATATTTTTCAAACATAAAAACAGAGAAACACTTCAAGAAATAACAAATGCAGCCCTGTCAAAAATATATGAATGGCTAGAAGCAAATTAGTTACCTCACAGTGAACCCATCAAAAACATTTCTCCAAGTATATTCAAAACGGAGAACTGCTGAAAAGTTAAACATTTACATTAGAAACACAGCAGTAGTTGAAATGAAAACAGTGAAATATTTAGGAATCCTTATTGACTCTGACCTCAAATTCACATCTCATATCAGTAGCATATGTAAAATTATCAGCAGAAACATTGGAATGATTGCAAGAGCTAGACGCTTTATCCCAAAACAGCAGCTCATTCAATTATATTATTCTTTGATTTTTCCTTACATCAACTACTGCTGTTTCATTTGGGGTTCCAACTATGAAAACCATCTTCAAAGGCTGGTAATTCTGCAAAAAAGGTTCATGAGACTAATTGAAGGTATTTTCCCACCACAAAGTGCTACCCCAATATTTAAAAAATATAGTATTCTTAAAATTAAAGACATAGCCAAACTTCAAATAATGCTTATCATGCATAAGTACATAATGCAGGAATTACCAGTCTCTGTAAGACGATTACTTCATCTTTCAACTGACCCTATCCATCAGACAAGAAATATCCATCATTTTCAACCAGTTTTTTCAACAAAAAATTACAGGCTCTACTCATTTCCTTGCATCGGACCCAAACTCTGGAATGACTTAATAGCTAAAGATCTTCTATTAGAAGAAGTACCTCAATCAAAAAACACTTTCAAAAAATATGTAAAGAATATCTTACTTAGTGAGTACTAAGCAAAAGTAGTTGTCAAAAGTTTAAGTGAAGTATTAGCAAAAGTATTAGTTAAAGGAAATAGTTCACATTTTAACATGGGTTTTGAACTGGAATAGCAGTTCCGTAGCTTGGGCTGAGACGAGCATAAATCAGGAGCTTTTACAGCCCAACGATCACCCTAGGCAAAGATATTCTATTTCTCGTCCCGAAAAAGGTGTCTTGCGTTGAGGATGTGTGCCTTGCATATATTTGCATCCAGTATGAAACGAGCATGGGTCCCGAAAATTCTTCAGAAACTAGAGAAATTATCTACGAGAACTCTAGAGAAATTCTCGTACTGATCAATAAGGACATTCAGGGGAACATTATCGCCCTTGCCAGTAAAACTAGTAAAAGGGCTAACTTTGCATGGTTCTTTAATCTTTAATGCATTATTTCACGCACTGGCGGATCCAGGGTTTCAGCGCGGGGGGGGGCATACCAGGTCACGGAGCCAAACCTTCTCCTAGGGTACCCCGAAATCCTGTCTTCTCATCGGATTTAGGCCACTTATTTTTCGTCATAGCCCTGATACGATAGTTTTTTCTTTAAAAAAAAACAAATGGTAGGCCGCCTGGGCCCTGTTTCACCGGTGATAGCAACACGCTGCTATTACACGTGGGGCGTTCCACGACAAATCGACAAATAAAAAATTAAATTTGCACCCTCATATTTTATTTTTCGTTGAAAACTGGTGTAAGGGGTTGTGATGGGCGGGGAAGCCAGCTGTGACAAGGATTTTTTTTTCTTCGAACAACGGTTTCCGAGATATAGCCTCGGGCAATTCCAGCAGGTCGCGCTGCAGCCCTATGTTTGGCGGCCTATAACTCAGAAACTATTGGTTTTCTACGATAAAAAACTTTATATGGTTCAACTCACAATCAGCCAACAAACATTTTGGCTATCTCGCATTTTCAATTTTTGAAAATTTTGATCACGTGACCTTTTAACCTATTTTTCGAAGAGTGACCTTGATATTTTCCCCACTGAAAGTTGTAATTTTGTCTGATGACGATCAAAGCCTTATCAATTGTCATTCATATGCGAAAATAAAAAAGTGGATATCGCCCTGCGTTGACCTCAGGTCAGGTAATTTTTATGACCTGTCCATTATTACGAGCGGGAGCGACAGCGAGATCTCGAGAATAAAGCAAGATAGCGACAAGCGGTAAACGGTGCAGGGTACAAATGGATAAGGTCTATAATTTTTACTGAGGTCATTTTCAGGTCAGGTCAAAGATGACGTCACACTTGCCGGCCTATCTTGCCGGCCCTCACTTGCCGGCCCTCACTTGCCGGCCTATCTTCAGGAGCCCTGTGGAGTCCTTATAGATCGGCATGGGACTCTCAGGCGTCGCTGCAGCGACGCCTGAGGGCTCTCATGGGAGGACTCCCTGGGAGCCCTCAGAGTCACCAGTGTGGGGCCCACAGAGTTGCAGGTAGGTAGCCGTCAGATGCGCTTGTGTAAGACCTTCAGAGGCGCCAGTGTGGGGCCCTCAGAGCCGCCGCCGATGTAGGCCCTTAAGAAACATTGGTGTTAGTCCCTCAGATTGGTGGTATTGGGCTCTCAGAGGCGCCGGTGTGAGGCCCTCACAGGCGCCGTTATGGGCCCTCAGAGACACTGGTGTGAAGCCGTTCCATGCGGGTATGGGTCAGGACCCTAATTAGAGCTGAGCTGACGCTTAATGGGTCAGCAAGAGCACTCAGAGGCCAGCACAGGGCTATCAGAAGTCGGAGTGGGGCCGTTATGGAGATGTGTGATGTGTGGCGACTCAGGAGCACGTGACTCCGTGAGGTGCTCTCACGAGTCTTGCGGGTCTTATATCAGTCGAAATGAGGCACGCTTGGACCCTGAGCGGCCACTAATTGGCACTGCAGGGCCTCTCGGGCCCATAGGGCACCATGCATCTAATGAGGCGGCACGCGCCCCTTGTGTCCCCCCCCCCCCCCGCTTACGCTGCGCTGGCTGCGGCCATACAGGTAAATCGTATTCTAACCGTCCCTATTCCCAAGCATAGGCGGCGGCCGATTCCTGGCTTGCGCAATATGACTGCCGTCGTTACGCAATACGGTCAATAGGGTTGAAGCGGCATTGCTCCCTTGTGGTAAGAAGCAACATATTTTAATTTCACCTATTAATTTGAGGACTCGTTTTAGGGCCTTGGGCGGGCGGGCGGGCGGATGGGGTCTGGGGAGACAGATAGACGGACGGACAAACATACGGAGAGACGGATGGACGGACGGACGGAGAATGGAGAAACGGACGGATGGATGGACGGACTGAGAGACGGAAGGGCGGAAGGACGGACGGAGAGACGGACAAAGAGATGGACAGACGGACGGGTAGAGAGAGAGAGAGAGAGAGAGAGAGAGAGAGAGAGAGAGAGAGAGAGAGAGAGAGAGAGAGAGAGAGAGAGAGAGAGAGGGAGAGAGACTGAGAGAGAAAGAGAGACTGAGAGAGAAAGAGAGACTGAGAGAGAAAGAAAGACTGAGAGAGAGAGAGAGAGAGAGAGAGAGAGGGGGTGGTGAGAGAAAGGAGGATAAGACTAATGAAGGAAAAGGAAAAGACTAACAGAGACTTCAGGGAGGACGGCAAGGAGACTGATACCTACAGAGAGGAACAGTAGCGGCGGAACACCTTCAATTAAGGGGGGGGGGGGGCACTGCCAACTTTTGGTCCCATTCTTTCCATGCAACGCCCATAGGGCTAATGTTAAAATGCCAAAATCAAAGGGGGGACGGTGCCCCGGTGCCCTCCCCGTTCCGCCGCCTATGGAGAGGAAAGATGAGTGGGCAAGGGATTTGAGAGATAGGTAAAGAGACAGGGGAGAAATGAGATTTTATTGCTCCGCTCCTAATAACACTTCCTAAAATAAGATATACCTAATTGGCCGTAATTATCGAATAAGAATCGGAAATTGTCAATTGAACGTCTGATTCGCTTACATCAATCGACAATCCGCCCTATACCATGTTTGATATGTTTGCAGTTTGCACCAAAGCCAGCTTGCAGGCTATAGCCTATACATCGAGGCAGTGGTATATACTATACATCCCGGTGAATTCCTGCATATAGCCGAGACCTCCGGCGGTATTTTCCCACGATCAGCCGGATTTCAAAGTCGTGTATTTTTCGTCCATGGCAGGCGGCCGGCGCAATCTTGGGGAAAGAGGCGCTCCAGTAACAAAAGCACGAGCAGATCGCCCAAATGCCGGTGGCCGCGATAATTTCTCTAGTTTCTGAAGAATTTTCGGGACCCATGCTCTTTTCATACTGGATCGCGTGTGCCTTACAGAAACTGAAAAGTTCATACATACCCGTTTTTCGGGCTTAGCCTAACCAAATAAAACACCGTTTAATTTACCCTAACGAAACTTAAGCTAACATTTTTGATCGTTTAATTGCAAGTTAGCCTAAATCTGGCTTATGCTGATATGAAGGGAATATGAAGGAGCCGTTGAAACAGAGCCAGAAAACTTCGCCACGGTTATCATGCAACCAGCTGAACTTTCCGCAGATTGGGAGACACTGCTACGGAGTTGAAGAGGCTAGTCCACGGGCGTAATTCTTTTTTCCAATCAAAGGAAGGCGCTATACGGAGTATATCCCAGTGCGTCATTGTCAAGTGACTTACAACACCTTTATCCGGCCAGCTGTCTGCGAGGTGTAGTGGTTGGTTAGTGCACTCGCCCCGTGTTCAGAGGACCGAAGGTTCGAATCCCGCCGGCGGCTGAATTTTTTGGCGCGTTGTAGGTTTGTAGGCTGTAGGTTAGGTCAAGTTAGGTTCGGTTAGGTTGTTAGTTTTTGTTTGGTTTGGTTACAAAGAAGCATCTTCAGGTATAGTGCCTACCTTTGGTTGGAAAAAAGAAACACGCAGTCCATGGATGGCTCACGCCGCGCTACATTTATGAACAGGCATTAGTGACGCAGTTCTGAGTCCACGGGTCCGGCACTAACATCAAATTCGGTTGATACGTTCAGAGCATATTCCTGCAGGAATATTCACCGCGGACGGTAAATTTCCCGAAAATGGCCGTTCGGAGTCGTTCCCGGATGTAATAGGTGTTCTCTATGTGATGCCACAATGCGTGCGTGGTCCTCGGCATCAGTATTTCGGCTCGTGGGTCGTTCACATAAATCTGAGCGAATGAGGGTGGCTGGTCTCCGTTGGCTTCGAGTGGTTCAAGTCGGTCCCGCAGTCCGCACCACATGTACACGGCACGTACCCGCCGGTGCCAGCAGGCTGTGGCACCCGCCACGGCTCACGCGCAGACATCGACGACAGGGCCAGCGCCGAGTTCAGACTTCAGATGCCTGGAAAACTGACGGAAGGTACGCGCTTCCACACCGTCGCCAGCCCAAAGATGGCGCAGCACAGGTGGCGGGGCCGGCACGGGGTCAAGGAGGACCTCCCCCAACCCACCCACCCCACAGCAGAAGGCGGCACGTTCACCCAACCACCGTAAGGCCGCACGCGCTACGCCAGCCTGCAGCCGCTCCCCTAGCATCATAGCATTAGTTTGCACTAGAACATACAGGGTGTAACGAAATTATCCGGACATCTATTTTTTCGCCATATCTGCTCGCGCAGTTTCTTGTTTAATGTGGAAGCTGGAAAATTGGATGAATGCAAGGCCCTAAATACAAGGTTGCACGGACTTATTTCTACTAAACCTACCAGAATATATATTCACGGTTGATTATTTAAATAATTATTAATCAAAATTTCTTTGTTATTATCTCGTGATCATTTATCAGCAATTTTATAAATCGACTTTCAATTTGCTTGCCTTTTACTAGCAAAATAACTTCTAGTATTGGGTCAACATAGTGGTGTAGCAGTAGGAACCACATCTGGCAAAACCCCAATACCTACATACAGCAGAAAAGCAGCCACCAGGCGTCGCTACAGTCGCAGCACAGATGTCGCGCGCGTCGCCAATCGCCAAACTACCGATTGCCATAAGGATGCATATGTACGGATATGTAACGGAAATTCGCCCTTAAGGATTATGCTTACATCCTTTGCTTATCAGGTCGATGGTTGGAAATTGGGAGGGTCTCGGCTATTTTCGACCACGGATATGCCTTTATCACATGATGAGGAACATGCTGATAAGCGTTTTGTGTGTCATAACAGCACAGAAGTATTTTTAATCATTTTTCAAAAATAGCCGTTCTGCCGTATCTTTCAGTGCAAGGTGCCGTCGGTCATCCCCGACGTGACGTCACGCCGGGGATTTCCAGATTTTCCTACTAGACTTCGACGCCCCCTGGATGAATGCATATTATCACAGACGGTGTCTCGGTCCAAACTGTATTCGAGCCGGCCAGGTAGCCCCCGGGTCACAGAGGCAACGCCACCACGGTTCACATACGAGTGTCATGAGCGCATGTCACGAGCGCAAGTACGCGTGCACCGGCGCGGCGGCCGCCAGCTCAGCTCCATGACACTCCTCCACCCCGAATACTTGCACAGCATGGACAAACAAATAAATATGCACCTCACAGAACAAATAACAACTGAAACAAAACGCCTACTCATAGCTCGCCACGTATCGGTCTGGGGGCCGCAGGGTGGACCGGTCTCTCAGCCGGTACCGCGGCGCGCTGGGAGAGGGTGCGGACGGCGGGACGGTGGTCACACCCGGCGCGGGCACCGCTCCGGTCAGCCCGGGCGGCGCCGGAACAGGCGGCCGGCCAGGAGCAGGCGCTCGATCAGGAGCCGGCAGCCGGTCGGGAGTGGAGGCCAGTTGTCCGGGAACGGGAGCATGCCGTGCAGATGCAGCGGCGCTCTCCGTGACCGGATCAGGAGCAGGTATCGGTGTCACTCTGGAACGGAGAGGATCGTTAGCGACATGCGGAACAGCTGAATATCGCTCACGAACCTGGTCGGCGTGCCGCACAATCACCCTTCCGTCATTTAGCTCCACAGTGACCTTAACCCTCTACGAACACTACACGACCGGGCGCCCACCGACAACGCTCCAATCCCTGCAATCTATCGACAGCAGGCACATACACAGGGTCACCCGGGTTCAGACATCGTTCACGGGCATTTCGATCACGGTACGTCTTTTGAGCCTCCTGCTGTCTCCGTATACGCTCCTGCCTATCTGGTAGCACACCATCTAAATGAGTGCGTGGCACACGACCCAGAAATAATTCGGCGGGCGTACATGAGGTCGTAGTATGCGGTGTTGTGCGGTACCTAAACAGAAATCGAGAGACCTTGGTCTCAATGGACCCCGAGATCTGTTTGTACAGCCCGTTTTTGAAGCTTTGCACGCTTCTTTCGGCTAAGCCGTTTGATTTGGGTGATAGGCTGGGTGTCGTTAAGTGCCTGATCCCATTTACACTGCAAAACGTTTTGAATTGCTGTGATACAAAACACTGGGCGTAGTCTGTCACTAGCACTGTTGGCACTCCCCAGCACGCAAACGACGCTCGTAATTTTTCAATCGTGATCAGTGAGTCGGAGGAACGAGTTGGGTAGACGTCCATCCATTTGGAGTGGGCGTCGACTATCACCAGCAACATCTATCCGTTAGCCGAGCAATAGTCTACATGGACTCGCTGCCGGGTCGAGTCGGCCACTGCCAAGGATGCAGTGGAGCGTCAGGGGCCCTGCCCTTCAGTTCCTGACACTTCACACAACACTTCACGATATCACGAATGTCGTCATCGATTTTTGGTCACCAAACATACATTTTAGCCAACATTTTGGTTCTACACTCGCCAGCATGACCTTCATGTAATAACTTTAACATGGCACCCCGTCCCTGCGGCGGGACTCGTGACCCCCACAAAACACAGCCATCCTGCACACTCAGTTCACCTATACGGGACCTGTACGGCTGAAAATCAGGGCTGAGGGAAACATTATTGACATCCGGCCAGCCATCTCTGACATATCGATGTACCGCTGACAACACGGGATCCAGAGCGGTCCACCGCTGTATCTGGGACACATTCACTGGGGATGAGTCGATGAACTCAAGTAAATGGACAGTCTCAGCCGGAATTGGAACGCTCGAACAAGCCTTCTCGCACGAAGGCAGCCTGCTAAGCGCGTCACAGTGGCCTTGCTTAGATCCTTGCCGGTACTCAAGGTGGTAATCGTAGGCCCCAAGCATCAGAGCCCAGCGGACCATCCTAGGTGACGCCATCACGGGCAAAGGTTTCTGCTCTCCTATGAGGCCTATGAGAGGCTTATGATCTGACTGTATAGTGAAAGTTCGCCCCGCTAGGTAATAGTGAAATTTCTTAACGCCGGTCACTACAGCTAATGCCTCTCTATCAGTCTGTGAGTATCTAGTTTCGGTGTCATTCAACGTGCGCGAATAGTAGGCCACAGGTCGCTCGCCCTGTGACGTCCGCTGACTCAACACACAGCCAATGCCGACCGGTCCCGCGTCACAGACGAGAACCACCGGAAGGGCGGGATCAAAATGGGCTAGTACAGGAGGGCTAACTAGCATCTCTTTGGCTTTCCGAAAAGCAGACTTCTCTGCCTCAGCCCACTGCCAGGGCTGATCTGCCTTTAGAAGACGATAGAGCGGAGCCAAGACACTCGCCAGGTTCTCAAGGAATTTCCCATAGTAGTTGATTACTAGCCACTTACGCAGTTCCTTAGCATCCCGCGGTTCCGGGGCACGGACAATCGTGGCCGTTTTCTCGTCGGTGGTCTCCACACCACGGCTGCTTATCTTAAGCCCCAGATAGGTCACGCTGCTGACGCTGAAGCTACACTTGGCCTTGTTGAGCCTAAAACCCGCTTCCTCCAGCCGTCTAAGAACCTGCCGGAGGGCCTCGTCATGCGCAGCGGCATCGACACCCGCGACTACAATGTCGTCCAAGAAGACCCCAACGCCAGAGATACCAGCCAGGACAGTTTCCAGCGTCCGCTGGAACAGCGACACTGCACTCGTCAACCGAAGGGGTCGAAGAAGACCCCTCGGGGTGTTTACCGTGAGATACTCGCGGGCCTTTTCATCTAGCGGAAGCTGCTTATACGCGTTTTTCAAGTCGATCTTTGAAAATATGGTACATCCCGACAGTTTTGAGTACAGTTCCTCCACACGCGGCAAGGGATACTGCTCTGCCTTAGCAGCCCTGTTGACGGTCAAGCGGTAGTCCCCACACACCCGTATTGACTGACCCCCAGCCTTGGGGACAACCACCAAGGGAGCCACCCATTTGCTGTGCCGTACCTGTTCCCAGAGTCCGCCACGGATCTGGTCCTCCAGCTCGGCGTCCACAGCTTCCCTGAAGGCCAGCGGTACGGTGCGAGGCTTGAAGAAACGAGGCTGGACGTCCGGGTCTACGTCGATGCCGACTTCCCCGCCTCGATAGCAGCCCAACTCCTCCTTGAAACGTCAGCGAACTCGTCCAGGATGGGCTGCACACGGGTCTCCGCAGTCACTCAACAGATGGAGGGCCAGTCGAGCCTGATGTGTCCCAGCCAGTTCCTGCCGAACAGCCAGGGCCCGCCACCTTCGACTACGATGAGAGGTAGTCGCTGAGCCTGTCCGCCGTACTGAACGTTCACTGCAGCCTGCCCCATGACTGGCAGCTGCTCACCGCTGTAGGTCTTCAGCTTCACCGAACACGGTTCCAGCTTTGGCCCTCCACAGGGCCAGAGCTGCCGAAACCCGGCGTCAGAGCAGACCGACAGAGTCGCCCCGGTGTCCAGCTCCATCTCGACCTTCTGACCGTCGAGCGCTACCGGCACCATCAGCGGCGGTCGCCTGACACCGAGGCCGGTCCGGACGGTGAAAATGCTGTACACCTCCTCACCGGTCCCGGGACTAGAACTCCTCGGTTGCATAGTGCCGTCCTCTCTGCTACCCTCCTGCGCGTCCGACCCTTGTAACGCGTCGCCATCAGCCGAGACATGGCGGAGGTACTCGGACGTGACCCCTGAGGCCACAGCTGTAGCACACCTTATCGATGAACGGGCACTTGTCCGGCTGATGATACCTCAGGCACCTGAAACAGCTCGCCGCCGTGCTGTCACCTGGCCCGGGCGTCGTCCTGTCACGCTGAGAGCGCAGCCGACCACCAGCTCTGGAGTCCGCTGCGCCGCCACCGCCGTCCCTGTAGCCGGCAGGAGCGCGGGCAGCACCGGCACCCCTAGAACTGCTACGCAGCCGCAGCGGACCCCGGGCACCAGTCAGCCGATGAACGGAGGCTCCATCTGCTCGCTGCTCAGCACCGCCGCTGAGCTCAGCCGCACTCGCTGCCGCCGACTCGTGTGCCTGGGCCAGCTGCTCCGCCGACTGGAGCGTCAGCCCCGGCTCACTGAGAAGCAAGGTTGCAGCAACTCGTTCCGTATGCCACAGACCAAACGGTCACGCAGCATTTCATTAAGGACATTAGGTGCAAACGAACAGTCTTTAGCCAGCTTACGAAGCCGCGCTAGAAAATTAGCAACTGTCTCACCGTCATTCCTGGAGCACGAATGAAACCGGAATCTGGCCACTATTTCAGATTTATCCGGCTCGAAGTGACTTTGCAAAACGCTGACCAGCTGATCGTATGTTTTCTGCCTTACAGTGGCTGGAGCAATAAGATCTTCCAGCAGACCGAACGTTTTTGCGCCGATCGCACAAAGCAGCACGGCCCGCTTCTTTGCTTCTTGATCACTCCCGATATCTTGCGCCACAAAGTACTGATTTAACCGCCGCGTATAAGCACCGAAGCACTCAACGTCCGCATCGAACTCGGGCGCCCTGCCCGCCATCGCCGCGTATTCGAGCCGGCCAGGTAGCCCCCGGGTCACAGAGGCAACGCCACCACGGTTCACATACGAGTGCCCCCAGCACGGATGTCACGAGCGCAAGTACGCGTGCACTGGCGCAGCGGCCGCCAGCTCAGCTCCATGAGACATATCTCTGGTATCTGCTCTCAACTCAGCAGTGACCTGACCTTGCGAAATGACTCTTGCTCTGAGTAAGAGTCGAGTCGCCAAACGGTTTCATTTGAGAGTTTTCGTTCAAGGAAGTGGAGAGAAGGGAGTACAGTCTCTCGTTTCGAAGTAAGGCTAAGTGTTAGTGGCATGGTGGCATGAGCCAGGAGCTGGTCTGTCAGCAGCTGGACATCAGCAGCAGCCAGTAGCACATCTGCCTGAGGCGTAACAGACTGGGACTTGGTGGCAGACTCAGTCCGGCGTCGATCGCAAAAGGCGCCCTTTGCCAAGTGGTGAGAAGAGTTGTCAAGATAGCGACTGGGAAACGCAAACAGACTCGAATTCTTACCAAGGCAGATAATAAGAGGTCCCACATCATGATTCACTATTACCCGCCCTTTAGCTTGGTTTTGCTGCCCTTCAAACTGAAAAAGACAATGAAATTGACGGGACAACAACCAGTCCACCACCTTTGGACTCAGGCCAGGGCGTTTCCACTGGTCGAAGGAAGAGATGAATGAGGTGGCCTGGTCGGATGGGAAGCCGTTCGAGCTGCGATATCCGTTGAGCCGTCAAATTGACCATGTGTGGGCTGCCAGCAGCTCGAACGGCGTCGCCCGGCGTCAAACATCCGGCCAAAATCTAGACCTGAAGCATGTTCAGCTGCTGTGTAATATTCAAGCTGTTCATGACGCCACAGAAAACCACTATCAGTGATAAGTATTACCGGCGCAACATCCTGGCTAGCGATTGGTTAGAGCCACTCAACCAGGCTGCACAGGTGGGCTCAGTTTCTGAACGTGTACTGATGCCTGATTCAAGCCGCGCAGTTTTCATGCGGGGCGGCGCACCACCATGAAGTCCCTAGCAGAATGATAAGTGATGCCGAGAGGACCTATTTTTCTTTTCAGCTTCACTGGGGGGCCAGCGGCATCACTGCGGGGGGCTATGCCCCCCCCCCTAGCATCTCAGAGGAAGTCCTGGGGGCCAACCATGTGTTTTGCCCCCCCCCCCACCCACTTTTTACTCGAGGCCCTCTCGTCTAGGACGTGGTCACCTTCCAGAATAAACAAACTCGGTAAAAATAAGTTCCACGAATCCCCACGCACAGAGTACAAGGGACCCTTGTTGATCCAAGGAGGCCCTCTATCCATACTCGTCAGCAGAGGCCCCTGGAACTGATGCCCTGAGATGCGCTTGTGGATCTGAGGAGGCCCCAATATCCACACTGGTCTGGGGAGGCCCCTGACACTGGCGGTCTGAGAGGCCCGTCTGGCGTCTATCCACACTAGTTAGAGGAGGTCCCTGAGACTGGTGATCTGGGAGGCCCCTCCATCCACACTAGTCAGAATTGGCCCCTGACATTGGTGGTCTGGGATCCCCCTACCCTCACTAGTCAGAAGAGGCCCCTCTATCCTCAATAGTCAGAAGAGGCCTCTGAGACTGATGGTCAGAGAGGTCCTAGTGAATCTGAGGAGGCCCCTCTATCCACACTGTCCTAGGGAGGCCCCGAGACTGATGGTCTGAGAGACCCTTTTATTTATACTAGCCACAGCTGCACAGGAGCCCCCTGAGATAAATGGTCTGAGAGACTCTTCTATTTATACTAACCTAAGGCGCCCCTGGGATTGATGGTCTAACAGGCCCTTATATTTATACTGGCCGGAAGAAGGCCAATGAGACTGATGGTCTGAGAGACCCTTCTATTCACACTGGCCAGAGGACTAGACAATTGAGACTGGTGGTTTGAGAGGACCTACTATTCATAAAAGGCAGAGGAGGCCCATGAACTTAAGGGTCTGAGAGCCCCTCATATTCATACTAACCAAGAGACGACCCTGAAATTAATAATCTGCGAGGTTCTTCTATTCATACCAGCCAGAGAAAACCCCTGGGATTGATGATCTAAGAGGCCCTTCTATCTATAGTTGCCAAAGGAGGCCCCTGAGACTGACGGTGGCCAGAAATGGCCTTTGAGACTGATGGTCTGAGAGGCCCTTCTATTCAAACTAGGCATGGGAGGCCCCTGAGAATAATAGTCCGAAGTCTCAGATACCTCCTCTGACTAGTGTGGACTGTGGATAGACGGGCCTCTCAGACCCTCAGAGGCCGGTATCCCTCAGAGGCCGGTATGGGATATTAGAGCTCAGTGAGAGCTTGTGTGGTGCCTTCAGTGGCCTTGTGCAGCCGTTAGTGTTCTCTGGCGCCGGTGTGTCCTCACTCCTCAGTCACCGGTGTGGGGCATTTAGAGCTCAGAGATACTGGTGTGGGGCCCTCAGAGGTGTCGGTGTGGGTCCTTCAGATGCACCTATAGAGCCTTGAGAGTTGAGATGCACAAGTGTGTGGGCCCCAGAGGCGCCGGTGTGGGGCCCTCAGAGCCACAGATAGGTATAGGGCCTTGAAGGAAATGGTTCATTTTCCTGAAATTTGTATTTTACTACAGCTTAATGATTTTCATGATCATAATTATCAGAAAATAAAATAAAACCTTTTTGTATGAAGGATTATTTTCCATACTTTAATCTAGGAAGAACTATATTCTATATAAAATTATGTTTATCGCGGAACCTTACAACGCGTTGACCAATCATATTGTGTAGTTCAAACATACCCATGCTGATTGGCTGACGATGAGGTGACTGCATTCCTCTGCAAGGCGCGCATTCCTCTGAAAGGCACTCTTTTTGGAATGAGAAATGGAATATCTTCGTCTAGGGTGATTGTTGAGCCGTAAAAGCCACAAAGAGCCAATCATCTTTGTGCTAGTCTCAGCTCAAGCTACAAAGTACAAAACTGCTATTCCAGTTACAAAAAAAAAACATGTGAAAAGTGAACTATTTCCTATAAGAGACACTGGTAGGTATGACCTTCAAAGGCGCCGGTGTGTGGCGCTCATAAACACTGGTGTGGAGCCATTACAGGCGGGTGGAGCCGTTAGAGGCCTGAAGGGGCCCTTAGGTGCCTACAAGGAGCCTTCAGAAGCTGGTGTGGCACCCTTATGGAGATAAGCGTGCCTACTTAGCAGCCCTCGAGGTGCTCTCACGAGCTCTGTGGGGCCCTACCGAGCCGAAATATGGCCAGATTTTTTTTTTTAACGGCCAGTTGCCGCCGCAGGGCTCTTAGGACTTTTATTCTCAGGGACCTCCTCTGCATAGTTTGAATAGAAGGTCCTCTCAGACCATCAGTCTCGAAGGCCTCTTCTGGCCACCATCAGTCTCAGGGGCCTCCTTTGGCAAGTAGGTACAGATAGAAGGGCCTCTCAGATCATTAACCCTCGCCCGCACATGGGGGGGGGGATGGTTGCCACCCCAGGTAGTTTTTTCTGCTCTGCACTCAACATTTTTGGAGCTAGATGCCTGATTTTTCGTATAGCTGCTCCTCTATCCTTTCTCGATGTCCACTGAAAATGTCAAGTCTCTGTGATTTTGAGTTTCGGAGATATGACCTTGTTCATCAGGTCATGTCATGACCCAAATGACAAATACCCAATATCTTGCGTTGGCCATGGGTCTTGTGAGCTTTTGACACCTTGATTTCGGCCTTTTTTCCAGTCTTACCTCCCCTATCAGTGAACATGTTGTTCGACGATATACAGATGTCAAGGTTAGGGTCAAGGTCAACCTAGGTCATCTGGAAACATTGCGTTTTAGGAAGCGGAATTTACTTTTTGTGAAGTTTCTTTGACTGCATTTTTAGTAAAAGTTTCTCATTTCA